TAAACGCAACGGAAAATGATTATATATTACTAAATAAAGTAGAACTCACCTTCAAATGACAAAAGTGGTTTCTCTGTCTCCAACAAAATTTGCTTCTCACACAAAAAGAAATTATACCTTTATGTATGGAGCAATGTGTTAAAGAGTCACCAATTTTCACATTTATCGTAATTCCCGTAATTAAGGAATTAAATGGTCACATTTCAACTCCATTTTTGAAAGAAAAAAAAATGCTAATTAAGATAAGATATTCTTCCTTCTTAATTACTAAAACATAGTTAATGACGTTGATTGATCGGTTTAAATAGGGTAATGGAACGTTTTATGGGATACCTTTTAAAAATTTTGATTACTTTTTTTGTCCAATCTTGTCTCGTTTTTATAATTTTCAAAACAAAGAATATACATAATTGTCTTCGTTGACTGACGTTGACCAAAGTATATCTCATAAAATGTCAATGACTCATAATGGATTACACATTTACAATACGATCACACACAAAAGTTTGTATGACCATGACCATCTTGGGAAAATCCACCTCTTAAAAGATTGTTTTGAAAATGCTACTAGCTAGACTCGGCTTTTTCGAATGCAAAAATTTTGTTTGCGTTTATTATTTGTGAATCCAAAATGCAATCAATGGAAAAAATATGCAAACAGAAAAGATTATAGAAAAATAATCGTCAATATTCAAATGAGTATCTGTTAAAACTTGATGTACAAACGTTTTTTTGGGTTTGGATAAAATTTTACATTGATTTTCAAAAATGAAAAGTCAATATCTGTATTTTTGGCATTTGTTTTATAAACCGTGGGAGTTCCAAACTTTTGGCTCATATTCTCCTTGGTATTCGGAGGCAATCTTTGGATATTCCAATTTAAAAAATAATCTTCCGTACTAAAAGAGATTTGAACCCGGTGTACAAAGAAACCAAACCCTTTTGTTATCACTAAGCCACCACATATATGATTAATCGATGATATGTTGATAGATTTATAGTAATCCAAGACATTATAATAAGAGTAAACATGGCTTAACACTTGATCTTAGACCATAATTCTAATCCCTTTTTAGACCATAATTCTAATCCCCTTTTTTTTCAAATTCTTAGCTTTGGTTATGTATTAGAGTTTTTGATTTTGGTTTTTTGCAAAAAAGGTTAAAGATAGTAAAATCTTCAAGTCTTCCGCTCTTTAGGAGATTACCTAGAATTTTGGGTTTGTTTAAGGTTTATGTTTGTTGGTACAACTTCTATGTTTTTTTTATGTTACTTTGGAAAACAGTGAGATTATTTCAGCGGTTTAGTTTTAACAACTACGGTTCATTTTCTCTTTCATTTGGTTCTCTTTTTCATAGGTGGTGCTTGTGTCTAGTTAATTTCCTTCGTGTAGGGCTTTGTTTTTCTTTAAGGAATATTTTATTTATTTACAGGAATTATATTTTAAAAGCTTAAAAAGCTAAAAAGTGTAGGAGAGAGTAGAATCAGCCATGATGTCATTGTAGAGTACAAAAGAAAATAACTTCTTTTTTTTTTAGGGCAAAAGATAAAGTAACTATTGAGTCTCATAATGCAGCTTTGAATAGTTAGGCAAAGTCTCCCGACCCAAAAGACTATTCCCTTCATTCAATTTCACTATTTGAAGTCTCCTTCTCAATATTCCATAGCCACCAATGTTATTCATATGTATACAGAGAATTTGCCCTTTATGTTGAAAAGATAAAGTAATTATATCGTATTAAGTTAGAACAAATATTTTAGATCATAAATAAGGAGACAATATGTAATTTTGTTGGCCAATACATAAATTTGAAGATGTGATTAGACACATTAGTTTAAGTATAGGTCCTAAACTAATACATAAATTGGAAGATGTAACAACTCATTTAAAGAAAAGTTGCTAGATGTTTTTAAAACCTTTCACTCTCATAATTCATTACAAAATAGCTATAGTAGAGTTAATGAAAGCTAAACAACTTTTTGCAGAGAAAAAAGATTTGTTCCTTTTCCTCTTTTCAAAAAAGATGCTTTGCAGAAGAAATAGAGTTGTATACTACTACTTAAAATTGATGTTCTTAAAGTGTTCATTAAGTGTGACTAATCATGATCCAAAAGCTTTTTATACTTAAAAGACTATAAAGTGCTTCAAAAGAATCTGTAATTTTACTTAAGAGTTAAGACCTCAAAATCATCTTTTTTCATTGTTTCATTTTGAATTCCAACAAAAAAACTCAAAAAAAGTCAAAAGAAGATGTATCAAACCAAAATGTACATCAGATTTAAATTAGAAACTTTTTTTTCCTTAAGACCAAAAACTCATCAGAGTTAATTAAAGGCAAAATGCAATAATAACATATCTCTACTTTAAACTGTAACATTTCCACAAAAACATATAATTTTTCTTCTCATCTTCTCCTGCTTACCATTCCCATCTGCAAAAATTCCATTAAAAAAACAATAAAACTTTTCTTTAATTTTCACATAAAGAATCATAAAACAAAGTAAAATGTTTTCAAAGAAAATTACACTTACATGTTAATGCTGATGAAATCTCAGAGGTTTTAATCACTCGC